TGCTAATCTTAGGAACGCATTAGGAACACAGCCGTGGACAGACTTCGTTCCATGATGGTTGCGAGCTAGCCGGTCGTCTGTTTAATAGAATGCCTGCCTAGCGGCGATACCAGAAATGAAACTCGAAACACGGGGGAAATCATATCGGCTGCTTGAGTTCACTGTCTCTATTAACATTTTCTTTAGTTAGGGCCGTTTTTAATTTCGCATGGACATCGTGAAGTACAATGGTTATTAAATGGAGCCATTGACTGAATCGAGAGTAAGTTACACCGCCGAAAAACTTCACGGGCTACAGATATGGCTTGTTGAAGATCGTACACACTCTTACTTAGGTCGATTGTTACGAACTAGGAAAACTCTAGCAGGAGCTCAGCAAAAAGTGCTATTAGCAACAACGTATTTAACGTAAGCGAGCGAATATTTCCCTCTTGATGCAGGCAGTCATTCCTATTTTGTATCAAACTGGTAAAACACAAATGCAAATTTAGAATGAGACAGGCCTGAAGAATGTTTGTGGTGTGTACATGTTTATTCTAGGCGTGAGTATTTTGCAGCGATTCCGCCCCTGATCACCCAATAACGTTAGATGGCCTAAAACTTTATTGACAAAACGTTGCCGGAACAACAATTGTACCTGCTTTTTTCAGAAAGTTACTAAGACGAACCTCTGCTTGGGTCAATCTACACAACTAGTGAGATTTTTAGACACTTTGGCGTTTTGAAACTGAATCTCTGTGTAAGCAACAGACCCTTTTAAAGCCAGCCTTATTTTTGTCCTATTAAGGATCAGCTTAATAACTAGTATCGGGTAACTGCAGTGGTGTTGACACGGAGTATTTACAAGAAACTTCCTTCATTCTACATAATATCTGGCGAACGAAAGATACCACTCAGTCAGGTTACTCTAGGTCTCAAGTTTTACGTCCATCTAGTTCCGCCGAATCAATCAAGGTAGCGCGTTGTTCCAATGTTCCTGTGAGAGCGAATTTTCGCCTGATAGCTAGAAAAGCATGTTGGAAGTTACTAAGTAGATAAACCATTACGGTGTCTTTGTTGAAAACGACGAATCACACGGAAAGTAGGCTATTTTTCTGTTTCTGCAACGGCTGAATTTGTCGGTAATAACACTGATTAATGATCGTTGCGTCTATAATTTTGTTGACTAGTATCGCTCCCATGAAAACCGATAGGCAACTATCGTGTACGTTTCATAGGGTCAATATTGGCCGAAACAGCAGAAAACGTTTAATTTCGTTTGACGATAAGTCACATATAGTCGTTCAGACAATGCCGATCTGACTACGATTAGCTTTCTGTTGCAGGTAAAGAACACGTTCACGAGTAACGAAAAGAGAGGAAAGAGCATTTCCTCTGCGTCCTATGGTCTTATGTTATCATAATCTTGACTATGAACGAGGCAAGGGTGAAGCCGATAACGGTATAATAAGAAAACATTATCGCTCATAGCAAACATGATATCGTAGCCTACTCTTATCATCGACGACGACGATAGTAATTATTACGGTTTACGTTGTCAGAAGTGTGAAAATGAATATATCGACGGTGTATAATGAGCCGTCGCTGTCATCTCAGTGCTGTCAACATATGCCTACTTATAGTGGTAGCATTATAATCGGTCTAAAATTGCTTAAAACGTATCGACCTAATCCGTTGAATAATGTTTTCAAAAGAACGCGGTTGATGACAAACGTGAAACGCACAACAGGACCGGCAGTACACCGAAAAAGAAGAGAAAAAGGGAATGATTTTTCGTGGTCGCTTCATTATTGTCTTCTATCTAATGGTTATTTTGTAAAACATTGTTACCATCATTGGCAAAGTGGTTTAACGAAATTTACAAACAGCAAATTATGCACTGGACGTTGGCCTCTAACTGAGGGTCTCGTGTCTCCACTCTACATAGCTGGTCATTCATCATGATTATCATATTAACACAGTCATGCCAGTATCTACAGCGTTTAGATGTATTGACGTTGTTTGCTTTTAATATTAGCATTGAAACAATACCTTTATTGTGCGTCCAGCCGTGCACAGTTTTGCTTCTGGGGCAATGAACGGCTTGTATATAATGTAACGCATCCAGACTAAGAACATAGTTTAAGAACGAAGAGCATTCGCGAAGAGAAGCTCGAAGAATTAGAGCATGGCCCAAACGACAAATGAACCGTGGACGTTTAAACCCAAGAAAAGCAAATCAGTAAACCCCTAGCAAATATCACTGTAGTTATGGTAGTGATTGTAATATTAACTTTTGTTTAGAACAAACGCATCTTTACGTAGAGCACTTTTCCGTGAATTATATAAAAACGTTATAAAAGCAGGTCGTACCCACACGTCAAGAGCGTAGTCAGTGCCACGTGTCAAATATGGCTTGACATTTAATACTGGTGATTTTCAGTGAACTACATACCAGAGTTTTTTTTTTTTTAGCTCCGTTTTAACAGTTGTTCATATTTAAATGTCGAAACAAAAATAAAATTATTTTCTGTTTTTTTTTTTTGATTTCCATCGAAATTTTCAGCGCTGCTAAATGGACCACTCAAGAAATCATACAAATCGACGACAAGCCTACGCACGCGTACGTTTTCGTTCTTTGAATAGCGTGCTATCACAAGCTGGATTGGCAGAGTAGTCTATGATGAAAGTAACTGTGAATGCTACGGATTTCCTGTATAGTCGCGCGTTTCGATCCAACTTAAGAGACTATTTTCTCTCGTACATAAAACGAGTATCCAATGTGCTAAATGTGCTTGTTATGTAAAAACGCCCTCGTACTTATAGTATGCTGTGGCTTGCGATTATAACTAGAGCACGGAATTAGGTAAAAGTAGAAAGGCCATTTAAGATGAAGGTAACGAATCCATGCCACTAGACCATAACGGATTCTCAGCCGACACGCTGCAACAACCTGCGAGTTCCCCTTTTTCAGATATTTGAGATATAACTGGATATACCCAATTTCGTAACCACCCCGTATCAGACTATTAAAAAACGTATTAATATCCAGGAATAATGTTGTACGAGTTTTTTTTCTTTTGTCACGATATACTGTTGCACAATAGATTTATCTATGCACTCGCTCGAACCATATCCAAAAGTTGTACAACGCGCAAATCGGTGAAGATCTCCGTCGACGCATTATGGTAGAATCCGCTTGTTAAGGCGCTTTTGGCAGATGTGGGTTTACCGTACAGGGTTCCGATGTACGCAAACCAGCCACTGAAATGAAAACGAATATAATTATAATCAATGTTCTCACGACTGTTTATGCAGCTTCATATCTACGTACACATCTGAAATATCGTATTGCGAAATAATACGAAACGTTAAGTATGAGCCGAGAGTTCCACGGCACCAATGGCTCTAAAAGCTTTTAGAGTCTGTTAAAATGCTCAACGAAACCGGGCGTTATGGATACATTTTAATTCTCGTATTAAGCCAAGCATCCGTATGTGCTTTCCCCAGAGAATTCTACATGTTTGGTTATATTGAAACAGGAAATTCTCTGTGTATTCTTCTTGTTTGCTTTTCGTTGAATTTAATGATGATCGTTACGTTGAAAGTTAATCACAGTAAAAAGGCGCGCAAAGTAACTTCAATCATAAGATCGCTCTTGGATTAACGTCAGTTTTTTTGGAAAAAGCAATGCCTTTCCTTACTAGCAGTATTTTAGTTTCCTGAAAGCACCTATTTCAGCTTATCTGGCGACTCCTTGCGAAGAAACTGGGTCGTGGCATGCACCTCTAGTGCAGCTGTGTAGTCTGCCATAGGTCTCAGCCGCTAACGAAACTACTCGACGAAGTTTATATGATCGGTCAAAAAAACTTAGCTCCGTCGCAATTTATTCTGTTACTATGCTTGCTAAAAATAAGGAACTCCAACTATATTGCTGCGCTTATATTTTGTCGTAGCTATATATATGGTTTTATAACTATCAAATCTATAAATAGATAAATACTGAGTCTTCCAACGATGTCTTTCAAAAGTTTGTTAGAAATATTGGCCTTTATGATCTGTGCTGTTTCTTGTCATCTAGCACGTGGCGTCTTTCCTTGGGTTAGTATTTTTCTCTTTCGTTAATATAGCGCGGGATATATAACTGTTCTGTTCGGCCAACAGAAGTCTGCATCGATCTGACCACGTGATGGCGTTAAATGGCCGAGTCTGGCAAATATATTGAATGATGGAAGACTTTCCAGTTCAGTGAAAAGGTAACCTGTCGAAGCCTCGTAAGGACGAGTGTTGTTGTCCTACAGCAATATCACTCCTTCAACTAATAATCGGCCCAGTATATTTAATTGCGCTAGTTAACATTGACGTTATTATCCAACAGAAGTTTTCCTTGAATTTAGAAATTCTGAAAACCTTCTTTCTGCGTTCCACTAAACGTACAAACGAAGCCGTTGTTTCGTCAATATCTCACTTCTTAAAACGTATAAATGACGATATCGTGGGCTCCGAGTGAGAAGAAGCACGAGTTTCGGGGCGTAAGAAGTTGAAGCTGTACATCTAAGAATTCGTTTTATGACCACAGATATAGTACCAGAATGTTAAGTTTGAACAACGGCTGTTTCGAGTCCACTCAACCGCTTATCTATAAGATAGGTCAATATCGCAAAATTGGGGCCATGTTTTCCTAATCGTATCGATCAAAAATCGTCTGCTGTTAGAGAAGTTACTTTTTAAAAATGTACCTTTGTTAACCCACTAACGAAATGTGAGCAGCCCAAATTATAATCTACGCGATAGAAAATTACGAAAAAAGTCTATCGTGTCTGATATCGAAGACAGTTATTTATTGATGCATTAAATAACATATACCCATGTACTACAACGCTGTAGCATCTACACAATCTCTCTTTCTCTCTGCCTATATATATATGTGTATATATATATATATATATATATATATATATATATATATATATATATATAACACATTTCTTCGCACATTTATATACATATAGTTGATATATTTATATAGTGTATATCACGTACATAAGAGCTTTTAATAATATTGTTATTATATTTACTGTTTGATTATTTTTCCATGAACACAAACTGAACAGAAGCCTCTGTAGCCATATGATGCAATGTTCGCACACCGTTCTCAGCTTCGAAAACAAATTGTTTGAGAGCTTTTTGCCGCTCTTGCAATAGTTGTAACTAACTATGTCACCTGCTTACCTGTTTCAGTTAATATGACGCTAGATGGAGATGAATTTTCGATATCTTCCAACAGGCTTCAATCGAGTAACATTATCCTATTACCTCATTCGATTTTCTCATGTTTATTTAGCTTAGTATCGCCTAAGAACGCTGTGTGCTTGATTGGCATTAGACGAACTTCAACTTGTTTATAAATTTGTTATCAGTCATTCCTCCATCTTTAACAATTCCACGAGCTTTTCGTTCCCTAGCTCAGTGCAGGTTCGTTTTGGGGTGTTCAGAAACTTATTATCGCCTGCGCACATTCCGAAGACGCCAGTGCGGCACGAAGCCGATCCTCCATTGTCTCGTGCTGAACACTTTCGTAGAACTGGTCTATTGTGTGTTATGGTATTTATTAGCTTGTTTTGTGTGTTTGTTTTCCTGCTTTAACGAGTCTGAAACAATTTGTCTGGGACCATTTCCTGCAGAGGAGACGCTTTCTTCTAAAGCTCTTTCCTCTGTAGTCAAAGTCGGATGTTGTGGCATCGTGGTTTCTTGTACAAAAACAAAGAACAGATTTGTCCACCTCTTTTCATACCACAAACACTACGCTAGACAGATATCGTGTTTGTGTGTGTGTGTGTGTGTGTATAAGTGTGACCCTGACTACATGGATTTTGAATGTCCTTTTCTGTATATCTGATAAACAATGTATCGATCACATATGATGTATATGTATTAGGGGTCAGACGAGGAGAAATATTTGTCCTTTTTTTCTCCCTTATTATGTTTATCATTAGGTTAACTAGCATCAATAGATTCGTACATCAACCGTTCTCTTACATACAATTATCCGAGCGGACAAATCATGTTCCAAAATTTACCCAAATTTACATTTCTTGGTTATTGTACGTTCGCCGATAGATTGACTGGTGCACTCCCCGAATAGGCTTCTCTCACCGTACAACAGATACTCGGCGCAATACAGCCTGTAATTACTATCAATCATATCAGTGAAGCCATTTAACGTGTGTATGTATGTCATCACAGATAGTTCGACTGGCGGCAATTGCACGCTAATTAACGATTGAAGATAATTGTCTGCTTTTTCTCTTCCTACTATGCAGCTGGATTTTTTTTGTCGTCTGCCGTAAAACGTGTCCTTTATCAGTCGCGTTCTTCATCGCAGCTTACACGCATCATTTGCAGATTTGTCTACAAGTGCTTATTTTACCTTACGCGACTACCCAAAGTATTCCGTAAGCGGCTAGCATTCGTTGCCACACACACACACATTAAATAATTGTCACTTTTTTCATGTCGTGTATCATGTATACTAAAATGAAGGGTTGCCTTTTATATGAACTGTCTGGTCTCATTCATTTCCAATATACGACCATATTGTGGTTGTATTGATTTTGTACCCGTGTCTTGTTTTTTTGGCTCATCACGTGTGGCTGTACGTTAACGTTTCGTCACGATAGGTCTTTATTTATGGGATCTTTTATCGACTTTCTCTTAAATTGACTACAGCTATCTTTTCGGGAACCATACATTGGACTTACTCCAGACAAGAGACTTCATTTCCTAGCTAGATTGCCGATTTCAGTAAATTACTTATGAATCATGTGAAACATTCGCACTTTCTCTATACATAGTAATTATATATTATATTAATTATATTATTGATATCTGCATGTTACACTGCCTATGTTTTATGGAAAAAAAAAAGCTGGGATTCGGTGCAAGCAGTGAATTGTATTTGTTGTTTACCTTTCGTTTTTTTCAACTAACCAAAGAGATCAGAATCTGCTTTACGTTCCCATTCCTACATCCAAATAGTAGCTATAATGTATCTGCGCAATGACGTTAATAGTTCATCGGTGGATGCTGGTGCTATAACAACGAACAAACCAAGCTCCAAAGCAAACGATCTCCGCTGTCACCACTCGAAAAGGAGGGAAAACATTACCTCATTATAAATATGGGATACGGAAAAACTGGCTCTGTAAAAACGTTCTATATAAAAATGAGAACTGTAGAAGATGCAACATACATTGGTTGCAAAGCACGGTGATGCACGGCCTTACCAGACATCCGTTACCAACTATTTTTCAACACTGCATGGAAATTTAGATTGCAGATTAATTCCGCTGCACAAGCGGTGCATGCATCGTCCTTTGAATTCAATTGTCCTCAGCTGTGAAGTCACCAGCCTTCCGCTCCCATTCAGATCAACGTCCACGACTAGATCAGTATTGCACAGCAAACGATTGCATCATCTTCGTATACCTATATGTGCATATACATCTGCATGTATATATGTATATACGTAGCAGTTTTGTGGGGTTATGATTTTGGGAAGATAGACCCATCCCTTGTTCTTTTAATTGACGACAACTTGATAGAAACGTCTATGCAACTATACGTGGCGGAATCACGAAGAGCTCAAGACTTACCTCTTCGCTGCACCCTACAATAATAATAATAATAATAACAATAGCAGTAGTAATAATGTAATGAGAGAGATCACGTATATCAATCGGTCACCCACTCTACTTGTCATCTCCATATTTTCGACGTCCATTTGCCCTGGTTTCACTGCACCTGGCGTGTGCTTCTTTTTTGCAGGCCCAGTCACGCATCAACTATGTCTACTCCAATTAGTATATTGCACTTGGAAGGCATACATTTTTCTTTGTCGTCACGAACACCTGGCACGTCCTCTCCTCATTAATCGTTTCAGCTTTTTTCTTTTTTCTAGAATTGTGACAAACATTTTCGTAGCTTGACTTCAGTACTCCGGTCCTCATTGTGTTGAACATGTTAGCAATGTAGCAATACGTACGATTAAAAATGTAGCCACACGTTACATTTCAACCAACACATGTCTCTTCGTTCGACTATCTATCCGCTGTGCTTTGCCTTGTCGTTCGTTATCCAAATACTCAGCTCCTTCTTGTTTAATAACCTACTAAAAATCCATTGATCATCGGCTGTTCCTTAAATACAGTTCATCCTTCAACAGTTTGAGCCAAAACAAGCAAATCCTCAGCAGAAGTTCGCAGAGTTTGTGAATTTTTCTATTTAATCGTCATCTTCAATCACGTTCGGCTCGTCATCGGAACTAGATAAATCACTCAAGTTAACCTTTTCACAGGGAGATGCTGTCCTGCTGTAATATTTCAGACAACACAAATTCATTCAGGAATCGGATCATTCAACAGAGATCTATGGACGGTGCAGATTATCTCTATGAATACGTATCATGCATAATATACGATCCGATCAGTCCGTTTTCAATAACTGACAAATACCTAATTGATGAAAACGATAAACCTGATAATTAATGCCTTGTTTATATGCATTTATGATGCTGTCCACTGTTATCGCTGCTATTCGGGGTTGCCTACGAGATCATTGTTGGCCGTCAGTCTTGTGTTCTTACCTATGGTTGTGGCAGTTGAAATCTGTTTTGGCAGCGATCATATCAAGGGTAGCGCGATCAGTGCCGATTTTGTCAAGCGCGAAAATTAGTTCGCGCCCGACCTCTTCGAGTTGCTCGATACCCAAATGAAAACCCTTGTAACCGCGGAAATCACAGCCAGCCACGGTGCACTCCATCGTGTACGAGAGCGACAGCTTTAGCTCTTTCCAGGCAGAGATACGGAGCGCCCCGCGTTTTGATGCTTCTGTCTTATAGGTGCACTGACCTAACGACCGCGCACAAAACCGATCAGACTAACAGTTAAAATACGGGTCTGCTATAAAAACAAGTTAGCAACTGAACACGAATTATAATATACTAGGAACAAACTTTGTGCAAATGATCCAAGTTACCCTGGCCGGTTATGTTCACATTTCTAGCGAGAAATTCAATTTGATAGTAACTACGATTTGATAGAGTTGAACTCCGCACGTGGTCAGCCTTCCGCGCGCTATCGTGCAAACTTAGTGTTTATTCCTATATTGATTATATACTGACCCTGATTGAACGACTTGAGCTGCGAGTGGAGAATATTTGGAAGAAGCCTTTGAGATGGGGAATCTTCACAGCCAAACATGAACACGTTATGCGCTCGTGAGTGGCCATGGATGTCCACAACGATCAGAGGCGGTCGTCCTATCGCTGTTAAATAGGCAAGTAAGGCTTTCGTATGGAATACGGTCGGATGTTGGTCCGTGCAAGGATTTTCGTACTGCCGATTCAAATCAACACCGGCCATACCGCAGCGCTGATTTCCGCACACTACTCCATCGGGATTAATCATCGGCACTATGTAGAAGACAAACTTCTCCCGCAACGAGATCGCTACCGGATGATCAGATAAGACGGCCTGCAGGGCACCGGCCATGATATGCGAACTATTCGTCTCGCCGGGATGAACCCGCGACGAAAGGAAGATCACAGATTTCTGCATCGCATTCGTAAGGCCATTCGACTTATCTGTTACCGTAACGAGATAACATTTATTACCCAGGACGCTGTTGCACATTTTTCGGACCTAAACGAGATAGACATGAATTTCAACACAACTCTTTAGAAAATGGTGGCTGATCCAAAGTGAAATTAAAACTGCACGTATATTTGTTAAACAGTGGGTTTATTGCTATTGAATTAGATCCAGCTGAACGATTATGGCATGTCCACATCGCACATCTGGTAGCTGACTGTTCACAGATGCCGAAAATGCAGATGCTAATTTATATGAGATTTACTACATTTGATACTGACTAATACTAAGATCGTCTTCACTGTTAGTACCCGGATTCATGGAAAAACTGATCGAACCCAGCAAAGAGACACGCTGTTTCCCTACATAGTGCTCACAGAGCCATGAACCGCCTTTACAGATCACTAGGACAGCAGCAAAGATCAACAAGAGTTAGAAATCTAATGCAACTTCGTCAGCCTTTATATCCTGACATTGCTTATAGGCATCACGTGTTACGTCTACCAGCATTGTTACCCTTACAGTGCATGTAACGCTACCGTGAGTGCATACCCTATAGAAGACCGTATTACTGTTGAACGGGATGGTACAGAGGTGCGTTCGTAGCAGCGAATACGAATAGGGGAACGAAGATGAAATGTAGCATGTTGAATTGCTCGGCAGAAGAAATGTTAGGGACAGCGTGTAGTAATGGTGTCCTTTTAAAGGATGCCTAAAATTGGCGCCACAAACACGAAAGTACTAAGTTAGTTTGTCGAACAATTCGAAAAATGCAACATCGCAATGCACCGGAATCATGGTAATGCGCATTTACATGTGGCGACAGTGATGATGCCTTTTACGGTAGAATTGTCATCAAACGATTGACATTGGCGCAATAAGAACATTGTTTCTGATAGGAATTGGCTAGGATAAAGTTAAAAGTAAAGATAGCCTAAAGAGCCGCCCAATCTGTGATGGGTGAGTTCGAGATTCAATGATCAATAATAGAAACACCATATAGCATTAGAAAGTTGGCAATGATTCGTGTTTTCCATAGGGGATCCATGTCGAGTAGATTACAATACCTGTAGTGATTCTTGTAGCAAGACAGACTAAAGCCGGGCAGCGAACTGAGTCTGGTCCAAGAACCATCGGAAAATAAGAGTGGTGAAAGGCCGCCGGCTGTACTGCGCTTCGTGTAGACTGTGTCGCGACGGTCGAGATTGATGATGTTGAACGTATAAACAACGCGAGCTGTAAGATTTTTGACTCCGAAGTAAAACCAGAAATGGTGCCGGCTTGTGTTCACATCTGGATTCAGTATGAGGTCGTATTCGCGCGAGGACCTCTGTACAACACGACGTAGGTTACCACCTTCGAAACGGGATTCGAACGAGAGATCTTCAAACAGCGGGCCTTGGGTTACGTCATATACAACTGGGTATCGCTTGTTCGTAAGTTCGCCTGAGTAGTGGGCTTTCATATGATTCAGCAAAGCAACCCTGAAAGAAACAGTTTGCCATCGAACACATTGCACATAATACGTTTTCTCTTTATATATACTTACAGTTAGTTTTTTTCTTCTAAATATAAGGACCACCGTATAGAGCTATTTAATTCGTTGCTTTCATTTTGTTTTTGCGGATTTTTGTCGGATATGTTAATACGCACGACTCTAAGGCTGGGGAGACGTTGAGCGGTTCTAGGTTAAGCTGTAGGTTACGGGGATTGAGCATCCAGAATTCGGCCTCGGCTACCCAGCCGCCCCGATCCACTCCTTCGGGTGGGGGACGCACAACATCCTTGGCCAATTTGTGCAAAACCTGTTTACGGTCGATGTTGCCCAGAAACGGCAAATCCTCCAGGTTTTCGTCAAATGATGTGATGCGCTCGAACAACTCCACCAGCGATGATTCCGATAAATCCTAAATGAACAAAAAGTTTTCTTGTTGAAATCAGAAACATATTTGGTTGAACTGCATTAGCTCATCTCAAGTAGTATTTGTTTCATATGCTACATGAACTCCTACAAATTAAGCTTGTTCGCATCTAACGCACTTGCGTCCGAAATTCCGACAGCTTTCATGACACTGACCTTGTTTGGCGGGGAAGGAAGGCGCTTGTTAAAGTTCTCTCTCAATAGCTGTGTATAGCTTCTTAAAGTTTTTTCAATTGGTAATTTGAGGGGGGGCAGGCACCTGTAGAGGATCTCGGAAGTTCCATTCAATAGGCCCTGCTGACCCGTCACCAAATCGGCCATAGTCATTAGTTGCTGACATAGCGCCTTTCGGGCTACAGCCTTCCGGCCCATCTTGAAGGACACTATGTGGAGCACGATCTGCAGCACCGCAAGAAGACAACGCACCTTCTCGGTGGTCAATAGCCCACCGCGTTCTAGTATCGGTAGTAAAACCTCCAGCACACCCTGATCCAGCAACTGCATTACGCTGTTCTCTGAAATTAGCCAGCAATCGAGAAAAAAACAGCAAAGACTTTAGTATTGAAAGAAGCGTCGTGAGCGGGGTGGGGAATAGGAGTAGCAGCTCGTAACAAACGCGCCCTGTAAGTTTTTTTCCCTGTAAGGATCTTTCTTTCGACCTATTAGAAGTAATAATGCTGCTAAAATAACTGCTGAACACTTAAAACGATACATGACTTACTGGACCTGGAAGCGGCTGCAAGGCATTCGGCCAGAAGCACCATCTCGAGATCGATGGTGCCAGACTGTTTTTTTTTCATTTGATTCAGTATAGTTGCAAGAAGACCGCGACGATTGAGGAGCGTCACGTTCAGCCCTGACGTGTTCATACAAACAACATGAAATAATTTCGATTTCTATGGTAGAATTGCGTTAGCACGTACGATCTCGACGGTATTTGCGATGATAAAGTGATCCATAAACCCATCAAATCTATAAATCCTCCTTGGATGACTCCGATGCATGCACAAAGCGGTCTTATCTCCCTATATATGTATCGAATAGCTTAAATCCTGTACACATGTACTGAGAGTTAACACTGCCTACGTCTTCTAGCCTTCCGATCGCGGATGAAAGTACAACGGCAAATCATGCGAAAACTGTTCTTCATTATTGATTAATCAGCACACTTACTATTAGCAAGAACTATGCGGAGCACTTGCAAGATGGACTGTGTGGTCGCCTCCCGACTTGCGGCCGCCACTGGGCCAGCTTGCCCGTTCGATATCGCCATTAAATCACTCAAGGGCGTAGCAAAGACGCCAGAGAAACGCGCCTTTACAGCGAACATCTTGTCATGTGGACAAACTCGAGCCAACAGGGCGTACAAATCGCGGTTGATGGCCCTCTGCCGAGAGTAGAGGGCCAGCAGGGGCGGCAATGCCTCCGGGTTTGCTAACGCTTCGGAACATGTCTCACCGCCCCGTTCGTGGGAGCAGATGGTTTTTAAAACGTAAACAATGCCGGTCTGGATCTCATTTGTGTCAGGATATTTCTACAAAATGAAAAAAACACGGCAGCAATACGGGACATGCACATTGATGTACGCAGACAAAAACAATATTCATCGGAGCGCACTGAATTGTCAATTGTAAAAGTAAGAGGCGGCATGACATTCAGTCTTTTCGGTTTGACTATTGTTAGAATAATGTTGGCAAAGATTCTGAAGTGTCAAGGTGGTGATTCAAGGTGTTCTACTAGATATCGTACGTGTTGGCAAATGCTTTGTAATAATAACAGTAGTGTGAGCTGCTTTTTAAGAGGCAAAAATGAACTTACATCAAGAAGAAGAGCTAGTCGGGACGCGGGCACAGCAACAGATGCCACATCGACAGAGTTTCCTACAGGAAAAATATAACGAAACAAAATACGATGCCCATAACAGCGTACTAGTAACGTCATCACAGTCACAAGTGGTCATCATTGACAAATAGATGCTCTTAACCGGACTTTGCTCACTGTCTCAGCATACTCATTTCGATAGCTTACACAATATGTTAGGCCAAAACGAGTCAAATCTGCGGACATATGCAAAAATACGCCTGATCTTAAAAAAAAAATCTGGATATATCTCGATCATTTTCGATGGGCACACTTAGTTAGCCACACGCACACAATCCGCGTTGAAAATCTGATGCCTTAGAGGACTGCTTCTCATGTTTGAAGGTATACAAAGAATTTATATTGTTCGTGCTAGCAGACAATTAGTAAATAATTTATACTACAAGCCATTAAATAAGGACGAGCCCGCCCCGAGTTTTTAACACCCGAGCTTCATATCCTCTTTTGTATGATATATTTAGCCAGTGAAGTATTGTAGATTCAAAGGGTCAAGTGCACGTGAGCTCCCAGCGGCTTTTGTTGGAGCTTGGGAGGTCTCCCTGCCCCCTGTAGACATATGCGCCGATTCGCACATTTATTCATAGCCTAGGAGAGGCCCTGCCAACATGTTGCAATGCAAAAAACATACTCAGAGACAATTGATGCATTCAAATATAAATACGATGTATGAAAATGGCGTAAGTTTGTTTATGATGTCTACACACCCAGTCCCGAAAGGTGATTCCGAATACTGCTAAGCTTTCTAAGGACACCGTCTTCATTTCGTTCTAAAAGCAGTAGGCCCTCGAGCTCACTATACAACTTCTGGCCCGTCCTGAAACAAAAGGACATCATTGGTCGTTAATGAAACTATTGTCTAACAACGTTTTTCAGTAGAACACTAGTGAAACGCGAATATGCCAAGTACTATTAAACCTGATTCAATTAACTACACTCTGTAACAGCTAATAATCGACTAATATATGTGTATATAAGTATACGCGTGTCCTAAATTTGTTCCAAGAACCTTATCGCAGTGTAGGAACACAGGATCCCCTCTGGCCAAGGTGGATTGATGGTTACGTTAACTACGTAGCCAAATAGCTGATTGGAATATAAACTTCAAATCGGGACCAAAAATGATTTGATTCAAAATTTTCTAGGCTGGAAGCTATCTGAAATTTCTGATCTTAACGGTGATCAGTCTGGCAAAATAAGTCACCTTAATGTAGGTTAAACGAACTGTAGAACGCAACCTAATCTCTTTTCGATATGTTAGGTTTTTCTGAATTTGCAACTTGAACACGTGGCAAAGTAAAATAAATAAGAAATAAATCACGCCATCTCAGCAGTCAACGATCTATTGAGACATATGTCCTTTGCGCCGTAGGGATAGCCCTATATAAAATATGGGCTTTCGATGTTCGCTTTCCTCCCTCTGTTTAACAACAGATGCTACTACTAGTAGGTTCTAGTAACCAGTGCGACCACATTGTGTTCACGGATAGATGAAGACTTGAAGGGATTCGACAAAGGGCGGGTGTAGATAGAATCGGATAAAACTAAATTTGCTAAGACGTAAGCTGCCAGCGTCATGATGAGTAACTGTAGAGAGGAAAGCGTGTGCCATTTTGTACGTATACAACACCTTCGTCGTTAAAACTGTTGCTGTTCTTCATGTGTTCGGGTGTCGGCACCGAGAGAATTTCCAACATTCGTTAGCCTGCGGTGCTAAGAGCAATGCGTTATCACTATAGTGATTCATAGTATATCTTCAAATGCAACTACACCTTTAGGTACAACATTTGCGTTGGTAGCCGTTTCAGTAACACACGGCCACACACTACGGCGACAGCCATTGCAGTTACGGTGTTGATCTCTCTCTCGTATTCATGCCCAGTACCTCCGTAATCGTTAGAGGGCGGGCCACGGATTGGCGGCCAGCCGTTATCAAAGCGACCTGTGTGGACGCCCTTGGAAGGACAAGCAGCCTAAGACTATTATATTGATTTTTTAACTAACACTTTTGCCACAGCAGGACAGTTACAACTGCTATTGCACGGAACCTAATGCCACTGGCACTATGGGTGACAGAGTAAGCAGCAAATAAATGGGTGGCCCGCCGCTGTTTGTTTAGCAAGTAACAAAGGCTATACGTACGAATCGAGCTTCCGTAGGGCCGACCACTCACTGGTTCCTCAGTTTCGACAGGTTCGTCTATGAGCCTGTATATGACGCATGAACTTTTCCAAGAGTGTTATATGTGCACATGTAGTAGCCCTTCATATATTAAAAGTTCCTCTGAATATGTGGGAATATGGCTAGCCACGGCGTGCATGTGTAGCGTCTACAACATATGTCTGTGTGAAGGTACGATTATTTAGTACAGAAATTTTGATGTCAGCTGACTTGAGTGGGACAGAATAAAAATAGCTGGAGAAAAAACAGGGTTCGCTTGTGTTTCCCGTCGTTCATCTGTTACTGATCTAATAGCAGTAACTGACATGTATCTAAATCGGGTTAAGTGGTAGATGCGGTGCAGGCGTTGCTTTTTACGGAGATCGCTGGCCGAACGAATGAAACAGAATTTGTCCAGACGCAAAAATGGTTTTGCATAGAAATCACGAATAATTCGACGAGGCGAACCGACCCCTGCCAAACTGCCAGGGACCATTGATTTTGGTCATTCATTAAAATTGTTGATCTGCTGAGTTCCGTTAGGTATGTAAGACAATAACCAAGGACAATGTAAGGAAACGCAAATATGCTTTCGTTAGTCATTGGTGACTATTTTCTACAGGCCAGACCTCGTCTGGTGCCTCCATGGCCACAGCTTGCACGTACCTGTTTCCATGTGTGTATGTACAAAAAAAAGCGCCAACTTCACACAAAAATGATCAACGGAGAAACACACGCCTTAAGAGGCTGGCATCATTATCGACGCAAAACTTATCTGTATTGCTCCGTAATGGTCTGCTTATGTAAAAGCAGAGGCTGTCTTCTATAACAATAGCTATTCCACCGTCCTGTAACCCCGTTCCGTAAGCCTTCTTACCCTACATTTGTGGGGCGAGCAACACCTATTGTTTATCACCTGATAAATTCTCACCACCATTACCTCCAGTAGCATCATGCAGTAGTTTTTACTGCCGTCAGCGGTAGGGCAGAAGGTAAGCAGCTCGTAATTATAGTACGAGGCAAATGAGTTCCTGAGGGAAACAACATAGGAAACTAAGAAAAAGCTGATTTTTTTCGTTTCCGAAAAAAGAAGAGAAAACCTAGGGCGAAAGGTTGTCGCACTATAGACAAGAGGTACTCTATATGATCGTGGTTACTTTTCTGTACGAGCTCTATGAATACAAAACTGAAGTGCACATGGGTCCAGAACGCTGATATCACCAGCTAGCTAATGATTTCGAGCCAACCACAAATGCGTATATATGCATTTGTGTAGATAAAAAAAAGTTACTGTGGCCTTGGGCTATTGGCCTAATCGGCAAATGGTAATAGTTCGGCTAAACAGTAACGACGGACCGAATCGGGCTCCAAAGTTATAACAGACACAGTTCTGAAAACCTTGCTAAGACTCAATGCTGCTCAACAGGCGAAACCCTAACTAGGCATATGTCGTACTGCAACCAGTGGTAACTTTGGGGTTAGTGACGTCGAGCTTTGCCATACCATAATGAACGAAAAACATGATATGACTAAAAACGTGTTATTATTCAGGTGTGATCTAACACAACAAAAACAAAAGTAACAATATTTCGAATCGAACCCGAACATCGAAACACAGAAAACAGAAAGCAGAGATTGAAACGAAGACGGCCGCCTCTCGCCCTCGTACTTTGTTATCAAAGTTTACCGATACGCATCGGTTAGCGCTGCAGTATTAGCAACGCTCTGCAACGTACCGCGTCATTAGAAACGCTCTATTGGATTTTGTTCGGATCTTCCGAGTTTGCATGTAACCTTTTATTTGCCTTGAGACGTAATACAACTGCGCTATAGGTTCTTCGAGGTTTCATCCTGTGAACTTATAGCCTTGCTTTATATACGGACAGCTTTATTGATAGTGGTGAAATAGTTCCGTTGAACTGTTTGTTTTACTATTTATTGAAGCGTTTTATCATATTTCACTATTATAATTATTATATTCGAGCGCTGGGTTTAAATGAAAAGCTTTCTTGAACCCGTCTTGCATATATTTAAAAAATCTTGCTACGTGGGAAATTTGTTAAGTATGCTCGGTCATTACGATACGACGACTGGGTACGAAAACAACGATTACGAGTCCGAATACGGTTTTATGCTTTTCTGTTCGTTGGAAGCTTTTCTTTGTTGTTTTTTGACATCTGTTTTGGCTTTGAAAGTCTGTGCTGCTGTACTCTCCTCCGTGGTCCGTCATCACGGCATGACCCATCGCCTGGTGTTACGCAAACAAATGCTCTTAATTGTGAGTTCCCTCGCAATCAGCGGCCCAGCTGTATCAAACACAGGAAGAACAAGACAGGCAATAATAGAACGTTTCCGACATAAACCTTGTTGAAGGTAATAGCTCAAAGGATACTTAACTTAGGCTTTTCCCATTCAAATGACATTACGGAGAGTGGTGCGAAAATAGGCTGACAGTTTTAAGGGGAGTAGTAATCCTCAAAGCTCAAAGTTCTTTTTAAGGAACATGTTGAAACATACGCTATGTTTGATTTTTGTGTATATATATAGGCGAACCATGTGAAAAATCGGTAGTAGGAAATAACTCTGCGCCCACTTTTACAAGGCGACCATGGTCATTGGCGAGGCTGTGTGTTGATAATCGTTATTTGAATGGGCTTTTTGTACACGACTAGTCCTTAATATATACGCGTCTTTAAATTGTATTATCGCAATTCTTGGGGTAAATGCAAGCAAAAAAATGTATGCATACTGTGTATGTAGGTGCTACATGAAAAAAGCTAGAATAGAAAAAGCTCTGAGCATCTGCACGGATAGCCAAGTTCGCTTTTTTAGGCGGTTTCAATTTATTTCGCTTGTGCTGCCGACTTCGTCCCGGCAGCAAAGAGGGAATGATGTCTACACGGCACAATTCGTCATTATCGATTATAAACGGATAGCAGCGGGGTGTCACTGGCCGCTACAACAATGTGTATCAACGAATATCGCTTACGTGGAAGGCTTTGCTTGCATACAGTCTTGCAAAATATTGGACCGGCGACACGTGACACCAAACCGCTCATAGAAACAACAGTGAGGTGACCGAATTCAAGCCTTTGTAATCAACGCATCGGTGAAGCTCCAAAAGGCCAGGCGATGATTCAAACAATATGAAGATGGCAACGCTATCAGCCGTGGAGGCATCATGACCATTCACGGCACTGTCCCGCTGGTAACATATGGGTTGAATATGTTGCCATTTAACCTGTTGTTGCTTTTACTTCTACTGCGTAGATGATGCTATGGAAGGATAAGGGCAGTCGAAATAGACAAGCCAGCCAACGTATGTACGTACGTGTATCTGTACCGGAATATTGCGCAGAAGAGAGACTCGCTTGCGCCCACATCTTTCACTGCTCATACGAAACATCAGCGAGGCCAATGACAAACTAAGCATACGAGTACATAGGACTGTGATATGAGTTTTGCCCCCACAGGATTACGTTCTATCGTATGTCCGATCGTGCTGTATCTCGTCTCTGTAAGTAAACACTAAAATCAAATATGGATGCCACCGAAATGAATGCATTATCTATCGTATCGACTGTCGGGGTTGGTCAAAGCTGGCGGACCTTTGTCAAGCATCAACATCGGCGAATTCTGTATATCAAGAAATAAAAA